CCCTGGCGTGCCGGTGCCCTTGTCTTGCTTGCTTTTGCTCAGCTCCACTCATGGCAGGGCTGCGCTTCACTGGCGCTGGAATTGGGTCATAGAAATGTTTTTTCTTGAGCCGTGCGCGCACGCACTCCCGTTGACCAGATGTTTGCCTTCCAGGTGACGTAGCCCCCTCTGTAACCAGCGAGGCTGGCGGTGCCGTGTCTGACGATGCCTTATTCAGAGACAAATTGAAACACATGGGAAAATGTGAGTGGGTTTGCAGTCTCCGTGGTGGCAGCGGGACGCCCGCGAGGGCTGCAGGGGAGGTGGGAGCGGGGCGGGCGGGGGAAGAGCCAGCGGCTCACGCAGCGTGTCCACTCCATGTGCCTGTGTCCGTGCGTGCACCTCAGCCGGGACACGCACGTCTGCTGATGTGTACGTGGAGGTCTTTTTGTTGCCCCTCTTGATGCACAGTGCACGTGTGGGTTGTGGCGTGAGTTGAGGATGCTGGTGATGTTGGGCAGTAGAGGAATTTCTGGACAGGGTTTCTGTGAATCCTAGAAAAGCAAGCTGTGGATTTGCTGTAACTCCCTTTTCCAGTCTTTTCCTCTAAGCAAGTCACAGCCCACTTCTGTCAGAAAACAAACCGAGGTCTTCAGGCAGCTTGAATCAGGCTGCAGCCAGCTGAGACACTGGGGACATGTGGGTCAGTCACGGGTAGGGGAGGTCACGAAAATCCCAGTGAAAGGGGAAAAATGTCAGGACCCCCTGCCAGGAACCAACGTGTCCCTGTTGGTCACAGGACCCAGCTCTCCGAGTCTGGCAGCCCTGGTGTTCCCAGACAAACCCAGGGTATCGCTGTCACATGTTGGGGTGTGGGTGGTTCTCGCGTCGCCGACCCTGGTCACCTCCTCCCCGTCACCCGTGACAGCTTTGGGAAGGGTTTTGGGTTGAGACCCTCACCTGGCTTCTTCCTCCCAGCCACGCGCAAGAAACTGTTTGAACTTGCCAGAGCCTTCTCCGAGAAGACGAAGATGAGGAAATCGAAAAGAAAACACTTGCTGAAGCACCAGGCGTATCCTAAAAGGGGCTGAGGAGCTGCAGTGGGGGGACAAGGGGCTGTCGGGGCAGCCTCGCTCGGGTGCTCCCGGCGACTCCCAAGGCCATGGTCTGGCCAGAACCTCCCGGGTGGGCCACGGGCCGGTAAGGACGATTGCAGTACCACAGCACGTCCCAGCCCCACGACTGGTTTTCCTTAGCGGAGGGTGCAGGCTGGGGACAGCGGCTTCCACAGCAAATCTCCTCGATGACGTCGAAGGACATTCGTGCGGTAAGACACGGCATGTCGGGCCGTGCATGGGAGCTTGCAGCCCTGCAGATGGCCAGCCCAGAGTTGAGATGCAGTCCTGGCAAATCTGTTTTGAGTCGCATTTGCTCAGCAGCGAGGCTTGGCAGTGGGTTCTGTGCCAGCCTGGACTGCTCTGGGGCTGGCTCAGGTGCGACCACGTAGCAGAAATGCCCCTGTGGGGCCTAAACTTCCTTCTGGCGGCTCAGGCATGTTCTGGCAGAGAGTCCCCATGTCCCAGTGCCTGGGAATTGTCTGTCTGGGCAAGAAAATTCCTTCCTTGGGGCAGGGGCTGGGCTGCCTCCCTGCTGGGTCACCTTGCTGGGGCTGGGACCGTGGTGCGGTGGCCCCACTGGAAGTGTCTGCAGCCCCCGCCTGCCTCTGCCTTTCAGATGAAGACTTCCAAGCGCGGCGGCAGCAGCTCCGGGAAGAGGACGAGACGCCGAAGGAAGGGCAGTAAACGGTGAGAGGCACCTGTGGAGGCAAATACTTCCCGGTGAGCATGTGAACGGGTCCCATCCATCCATCCACCCTGGCTGGAGGAGGGGGCCGGGTGCTCTGGGTCGGGTCCAGAGCGTGTCCGGGTGGAGACAAGGTGGCCACGGTGTGACTGAGGCTGAGCACGCGCCATTCTCCTTCCCCTCCCTTCTCCTTCTGTCCAGGTTCCAGTGCTGGGGTTTATTGCTGGCACAGAACGTGCACAGGGCTTCGTAAGACGATGGCTGAAAAAGGAAAAAAACCCACCCAACAAATAACCCCTTTTTTTGGCTGTTTCCCCTCTGCTGTTGTACTCCTCTGAAGTACAAGTATCGAAGTGAGGCACAGTGTTTTCTTACTGGCAGTTTGAAAACAACTACCTAGCAAATCAGCCAAAAAGGAAAAGAAGAAAAGGAAAGAAAAAGACGGCAGCTGATGTGAGCTGCTGTGGAGGAGTTGGTGGAGCTCAGACTTGGGGGAAGCAATGTCCTGCCTGCTCTCTCGGTCCGAGTGGCGTTACAGGAGGAATTGAAAATCGGGTTGTACCAACGAGGATCCGTTCACACGTGGGATCTGCTTGGCTGGAGCGCTCTTGAACATATCTCTGTAGCGATCTGATGTAACTTTACTCTGCGCACACAGGAAAAAAAACCCAAACACACGAGAAGGAGAACCTAACAGCCATTGTCTACTATTGCTAGGAGTAATGAGCAGAGATTCAGATCAGGTAATAGTCAAATAATATAAATTGTTTATAAAAGGAAAGGCCTTCTTTTTCCTAGGCGTTTCACTTTGAATTAAACCTTTGCCTTCGGCATTGCTAAAACTGCCTTGAAGTACAGACGCTTTGTGCCGCCGCGGGCCGGCCGGCGGGGCAGCACCAAGGGCTCGATTTCGCATCGGTTTAACCCTCACTGCTGAAGCAGGACCCAGCGTGCCAGTGGTGGTCCTGGCTGCCAGGCAGGGCACTCGGCAGCTCCGGGGATAAAATACCATAGGTAAGATGCAAAGCCCGAGCTGGGGGGGTTTGCAGGTGAAGCTGGGGAGACATTTTTGGCACAGAGAGCTGGCACAAGGGCCTGTGAACGCTGCTGGGTTCAATGCAGGGCCGGGGCTGGCCCAGTGGCAGGAGCAGAGCACCCTTCTTTGCGCCCACCTCGGGGGATTCTTTTCGAGAGGAGGGCTGAGGGGCTGGCAGGCAGCGCTTGAATTGCTGCAGCTTTCGGAGATGCTGTCAGGCTAAAAATAATTACGTAAACAAATTCCTTCCCTGTGTAAGTAATGAGTGACGAGCATAAAGTCAGAAATCGCTCCCGCCAGCACATTTTCTTCTCCTTTATCGGCATAATCTGTTTACTGCTAAATGCAGGAGGTGGCTGTAGACGTGCCTGTTTCACTTTCTGGCTCCTGCGAACCAGCACAAATGTTGCAAGATACGAGCTGCGAAGGCGGCAGTCGCAGAAAGCCCAGCCGTCAAACACACACGCAAGTGTTTTCCCTGCCTCTCCGCGGGGTTTGGTAACAAAAGCCCACATTGCAGGCGCTGGCTCCCGACGGGCTCCTTTTCAAACCCGCCTGGAGCCCACACGCCTTTGAAGCGGACGCCAAGATTTCTTGCCCCGCGTGCAGCGCAGCCCGTTCACCTGCTGAGCGCGGCAGGGATTCATGGGGACCCCAGTGTTTCGCCCTCTCCCTGCTCTCCTGGGCCAGGGCTGGGAGTGCTTTGAGGTGTTTGGGGCTGCA